AAAAAAAAACAAAAAAGGAAATAAATAAATAAATAGTCAAAACGACATTACGCAATACAAAACTCGAGTTGTAATGAAGCTTGAATTAAATAACGTATAAAAAAAAAAATATCCTGCCTTTTCCTGATGCATACGACCGAGCAGAGCATGGCGGTGAGCTCGACAACTGCGTTCCCAATTGACATAGATATCAATGATCTGCTGCCCAGTGAATGCGGCAAGCGTTTCGAGGACTTCGATCCAGACGACGATCTTATGTACGCGAGGGTTGTTAAAAGCTCGATTGCTCCTCGTGGGTCCTACCCTTGGCAGGTATTTTTGCACCCCTGTCCGATTACTCTCGGACTATCACTTGGGTTTTTCTTTGCCTGCTTTAAATTTCTATTCTATAGCAATGGGTTTTTCATGTTTTGTTTGCTTATTTCTTGCTTCTATATTGAAAAATGTCAACGGTTTTATTTTTTCTATTCAGAAGCTATAGATTACATGTCTATTTAATATAATTTTGTTGTACAAGTAATAGCCCGCGCTGCATAAAAAGTATAAGGCATATATTTACGGGTATAAATTGTTTGCTCAAAGTACAAATTTAAATTAAAAAAAAAAATTAACCATTACCATTAACAAAGGCAAGTGTACGAGTTAGAGGTCATAGTAAATCTAATCACTGGTGCGGTGCCGTAATTATATCTCCACTCCATGTTTTGACGGCGGCCCATTGCCTCGAAGGATACAATAAGGGCACTTTTTTCATCCGCGCTGGAGATTATGATACAGAGGTAAGAATTTTTTAAGTATAAATTATTTTTTTTTTAATTATATATTACCAATGGGCGTATTATCTACTTTTCAAGTAAAACAAAGAAAACGCGCAAAAAGATCATCAACGTTATTGAATTAACGTATGTTGAATGGTAAAACCATTTTTGAAAGTCGAAATAAATGCAGGACTATGAATTCTCGGAAAAAAAAAAAAAAAAAAAATGTTCAAAGCAAATAATTCATTTCATGTTAAATGAGATAAGACAGTGTGAACCGAGTAAATAAATGCATGTGATTAAATAAACCGGCGTATTTAAAAAAAATGCAAGTACTATATAAATCATTCAGTTGAGTGATAAGTCAACACGTTCACAATATGATGACGGGGACGAGAAAGATTTAAATTCAACGAAGTTTTACGTTTTTCATTCAAACTGTTAAAGTTCTCCGATTCGAAATGAATTTCATTTGCGGTTGAGTGATAAAAACCGCTCGAATTCAAAGTAAGTATCGGTCAAATGCACTGTTTAAAACAACTCATTCAATAACGAATTGAGCTTAAATTTTTTGTCTAGATGAAGCGACCAATAGAAATCTTAACATTTTTTGTCATAAGCGCAGTGTCTTATGCTTCTGCATTGCAAGCTGATTGCTATGGATTGCAATGTTACGAGGTAAGTTTCTACAGTTAAATTATTACAAAATTAACCAAACGCTTGCAAAAAATCGTTGCACTTGCGTAAATAAAAAATCTTTTCACAATGTCGATGAGCTTTGATAAACCATACGAATAACATCTTACATATTTTTTATTTGTAAAAAAATTGCAAGCCATGTTAAATAAACGATTTATGTTACAGTCAGGAGAGCTTGTTCATCTAACCTGCCCAAGTGAAGGTATTGGTATTTTGCCATTTATTTCGGATTGCCGAGCATACATCGAGTGCTACCATGGAAAGCCGAGTATTCAATATTGTTCACAAGATACTCTTTATAATCCGGTAAAGCGATGTTGCGATGGTACCCAAAATTTTGGTTGCGTTTTCAACCAATATACAAATAAGATGATACAAACCGCCATGTCTTTTGGATTTAGTTTCAAGTCTAATGTGTTGCTGGAAAATAAAATGAATGCGCAGCACTTGAATCTTGCCGACATAGTGTTTGGACTCAATAGCCCAAAAAATAATTGTGGTAAAGTCACAAACGTTGATACTGGAAACATAAATGGGATCAGCATTGAATCAAGTTGCAAGAGCCGAAATAATGAAATTGACGTAAAATCAAAAACAAGTGGTAATATTCCACCTGGTAATGGTTCCGAAGATGGTAAGAAAACGACCACACCGTCTAACGTTAAGTCTGATTTGGATGACGGAAAAACAATTAATGGACAGCCAAAAGTTAACAATGATATTAAAACAACAGGACTTACCAACCAGTCGAAGCAGGAACAATTTGATAGTAACATTAGCAAAAATAAAGACGAATCGTTGAGCGTTAACGTTGATGTAGATAACAGTGTGGGAGTCGATAAATTGAAAATTGGTAAAGATGAGGTAAATGCATTAGAATTCGATCGTCCATCTAACTGGTCACGCGTGGATAGCAGCGTTACTGTGAATAAAGACGACTCATCAAACGTCAATGTTGAAAAGGATTTGGGAAACGTAATAATTGAGCATATTGATAAAAAGAATCTCACAACAGGACCATCTAGTGTGTCTAATCAAACATACATCGAGAGCAACGATCATGAAACTAATGGCAAATCATCAAACGCGACAGATGGTGTAGATGTTATAAATAAACTAGTATATATTGAAAGTCAAGATAATGTTACATCAGGAGTATCCACACAGTCTAGTCATGAAAAATCCAGTGACAATGCCGATACAAGTAATTTGGATCTTGGAGATGAACGATCACAAATTGAAAATACTGAAATTACGTCAGAAACTTCCAGTAAAACTAAGCAGCAACAAAACAATGTTAATGTTAACAAAGATGAATTATCCAAAGTCAAAATTGGTTCGGATGGAAATGAAGTAAATGTACAATCAGGCGTAAGTAGTGATGGTAATACGACACCAGATACTGTCACGAATCCTAATCAGCCAGTATTCAATAACGACGTTAGTATAAATAAGGACAAATTATCGATCGTCAACGTTGACGTAGATGACAACAATGGTAATGTTAATAAACCATCATATATTGATAGTACTGTTAATATTTCACCTGGAGCTGCCAATCAACCTAACAATGACAAGTTACTCAAAGTTGCTGATAGTCTTGGTCTTAGAGATGAAGTAAATAAGCAGTCACAAATTGATAGTAATGTTAATACTCCATCAAAGATTGGCAGTAAGCTTAGCGATAAATTGTCAACTGTCATCGTTGACGTAAATCATGACAGCAAAGCTCATGAGCCATCCCAAATTGGCCACAATGACAATACTATATTAAGACCTACTGGTTTGCCTCGTAAGCCACAAGTTGATAACACCGATAATATGGATGATGTGGATGATGATGGTACAGTTAATAAACTGTCACGTATTAATGATATTTTTAATTTCACATCAAAATCTACTCTAATGAATGACGGCATCAGTGTAAACAAAGATGAATCGTCAAACGTTATCGCTGATGTGGATAGTGATGGCAATAATAATGATATTCATAATCATGTAAATAATACATCCAGACATGATAGTTTGTCTGTTGATTCACAAGTTGATAACATAAATGTGAATAAAGACAAGTCATCAAGTGTTGTCTCAAATGTTGATGATGAAGTTAATCAACTATCACAAACGGATAGATTAAATATGATATCGAGACTTACCAATCAGAATACCAATCGACAGGTTGTCAATGACATGAATATTATCAAAAATGAATCGCCTAACGCTATTGGAAATGTGGATGTTGGAGATGAGGTAAATAAACATTCAAAAATAGACGTTAATACCACACCAAGAGTTATTTGTAAGCTTAAAAAGCATCAATCCGATGGAAGTGTTCAAATAAATCAAGATGGGCCATCAAATCTCATTGTCGATGTAGATGGCGATGGCAAAGTCAATGAACTATCATGTATTAGTGAAAGTGTTAATACTGTATCAGAAAATGTTCATAAGCGTAATAAGCCACAAGTTGACGTTACTATAAATAAAGTAAAATTATCCAACGGTAACGTTGACGCAAATGTTACACCAGGACACACTAGTCAGTCTGATCATCGAAAATTTGGTAATAACATCAATATCAGCAAAGATGAATCGTATGACGTTACTGATACTTCTGATCTTGAAGATGAAGTAGATAAAGTATCATATTTTGATAATGACGCAATAAATGTGGATAAACCATTGAATGGTAACGTTGGTACTAGAAACAAAGTTAATGAACTATCGCACTCTGTTGGCCATCTAAGTGGTAGAAAAAAAATTAATAGCAGTGTGCATAAGGATGAGTCGTCAAAATACGACTTTGGTAAAAATGCTGATAGTGATATAAATGTCTCTTCTAAGAATGACAAAATTGATAAATTCGATTACTATGGACAATCAGGCGAGAACGTGAAAAATAGTAAGGCATTGTTATGTGATCGTATTAAAGAACGACAGACAAGCAAGAGCGTGAATTTAATTTTAGATCAAGCGAGCGACGTTTTTAAGAAAGTCAATCGGTTGCAGACGTTACGCGAACTATACGATAAAGAATGCAATACAGGTAGTGATGGCATAAAAAATACATAGGTCACATTGAATATACAATTGATAATAGTAAGGACGTTGTTGTAGTGTTTTTAACGATGCGCGACATATTTGTATCGAACAGGAGTTACTAAAAAAACATCAAATTATAGTATAATATGTATTTGGTAAACCAAGAGACACCGTTGATCAAGTTGCGCATGTTGACTAAAGTAATTCTCCTTCAATGAAACACAACTCGTTTATATTAAAACTACATGTTATTAAATTTTGATTAGCTGTAACAAATCGAATAAGTTATTGAAAACTAATATTGTAACGGAGACTGTAAATATTGTAACTCATTTTTGTCTTTAAATATCTACGAATTCAAAAAATTTTAAACGCTTTCAATAATAAATGCGATTTCACATGTTTATTACAAAAAAAAAAAAAAAAAAAAAAGTGTAAGAAATTGTTTTATCCTTGTCCTGTGTGTTAATACGCCCATCGGTAATAATGTGCAATATGAATGAGGGTATAACTGATGATGTGGTTTGATTGACGAGAAAAAAAAAAAAAAAATATATTTTTGGCTAAACTTAAATTTGAAGGCTGACGAGGGAACTGAGCTCGAGGCAAACATCGAAGACTATTACGTTCACGAGGAATTCCGCAAGGGGCGTCGTTTGAACAACGACATTGCCGTTGTTTTGTTGAAAGGTCAAGGCATCCCGTTGGGCCGTAACGCCATGCCCGTCTGTTTGCCCCACGAAAACTTTGAATACCCGGCTGGCTTGAATTGTACGATCAGTGGCTTCGGCAGCGTCGAACCTGGCTCCAAATGTTCGTTTCAAAGTATTTAAATCCATTGTTATGCCGGTCGTGGAATGACTCAGTGATGATCATTTGTAGTTGTTGTCATTATTTATTTATTTATTTATTTGTTTCCAAGTATAGATCAATTTACAATCTTTATAACATGCCCAACGACGCGCGCACGTTAGATGCCNATGTTGAGGCGGAGGGCCGCTATCAGAGTATCGTAAAGTCGTTACTTGCTGTCAAGCCAACCAAAGTGTAATTATGTAATCCCGTGCCCTAAAGTGGCTTGACTTTGATGAGGATTAAAATATCTGAGTAGGAACGTCGAGGACAACCTACGCCGTTCAGGCGATAGGTGCTCTGCCTCAGCAGTATAAATAATCAATAAATAAATGATAATTTCGGATACCAACACTGATCACAATCGGTTGTTCGCATTATGCGTATTTCAAGTGTATGCGTATATTAAAACGCTGGTGCCGACACTCAGGAAAACATTTATGTACCTATAGGTGTAACCGTATGAGAAAGAGAAAGAGAGTGTGAGCATAGGGTCACGGCGGTGCGACGAGGGAGCTCGCGGCGTGCGAGTAGAACAGGCAGTGTTGTGTGAATTGCAGAGAGACTAGGTAGGTGTCGGCGTTTAGCCCTTTTTGTACTTTATTAAAATAAGGCCAACATTATTTTATTCCTGTTTTCTCTTTGTTTTGATTTGTTCCTGCCTTCCTCGTTTCGTCGTCAACAAGTACTTTACTTGTTTGTACCATCGATTCCGTTTTTGGGTTAATGTTAAACATTCAATCCGTGAAAAACATTTTTTGATCGTGAATAATAGTTTTGTCGTATACGCAGAGCACGCGTAAATTGCTCACGAGCGCGGGCTCGCCACGTGCCGCGGATTACGCCACACACGTGTGTCCAGCGACTTCACTTCAACGCGATTACAACCGACCCGGCACGTCATCATCGTCGCCCTTAATTGTGCGACCGCGCTTGGCCAGCCGGTCCGTAGAGTGTGAGAGCTTCTCTCACTCTTATCTACCTCCTTGAACGTCCACCAGCTCGAGTGACACGTGGAATCAACGTCTTTGTCTTCCCGGTCTCTCAGACTCAGCACCACGTGCCGACCCATTCGTACTCTACTTCTACTGACCGTCTTTCTGATCTTTCTACACACGCATACACACGCTGCTCACACCTCCATTATTTTGTTTTACTTACATTACAGTTTATTTAATTTGTCCGCTTTTTTCTAAAAAATTGGGTTTTTTATGCTTCTCAGCTTTTTCCCACAATTCTGTTTACTTATTTAGTATTTACCCAACCAGATCCATCCTGTCCTTTATTATATTTAATGTAGATATTCTCGTACATTTGAGAAAATTCAAATAATTCAGTTCGCTTATTATTATTAAGTTAACGTAAATTCCCTTATTGAACACGAGGCCTCTTCAACTGTTGAATTAGAAAAAAGTTAAATTCAAGATTAATAAGCCTCCTGTGCAGAATTTATGTAAAGAAGCATTGATTTTACAATTTAAGAATTTCCAAAACGTTTTACTGCGCTTAAGGTTTCACTAGTACTAGTAAATAAGCTAACTCCATCTGGACTTATTAGTGTGTAAGCAGATTAAATTATAACATTGTTTAATTTGTGTTTCAATTCATAATTTTTTTTTTTTTGTATGACTTTGCCAGTGGAACATTATTCATCAGCGTATTCTCGAAAGTTGAGGTACGGATGGGTACCGATTCTCGAACAGTCGGTGTGTAAATCAGAACGCGTTTACGGGACGTCGATTTCGGAAGGTATGATGTGCGCTGGATACTTGTCCGGTGGTACGGACACGTGCGACGGCGACTCTGGTGGCCCATTAGTTTGTTTGCACAACGGTATACGCTTTTCCACTTTTCAAAGAATTTTACCTCGTTTCATCGTAAATATGTACACATTATTTCTCGCAAATTCAGGTGCCTTCACTCTTTACGGATTAACAAGTTGGGGATGGCAATGCGGAAGAGCTGATAAGCCCGGCGTGTATTCGCGTATCGCATACTACAGAAAGTGGATCGAACAGAAGATCAAAGAATCGATGACTGGCAGATAACATGCGTTTTTTTTGTAATTTATACTTTTTAGTCAACGTGTACCGTAAAACTATACGATGCGTTATTAATTTTTATTTTACATAATTCGTTAGTAACATTTCAACTCTTGAATACAACTCCATGCGATTCTAATTAAGATAATCAATGTACAAAATTTCTGCAATCTGTAATATGTGTTTACTGTTGATATTTGTCAAGTAGATCTTATCGTATTCTAACAATTTATTTATAAATGTTCTTTCGACAAGTAACTACAATGTTTGATATTTTTACTAATTTAATTATGTTATAGATATAATTATTTATTCGAATAAAAATATGACCATAAGGTAGGGCTGATTGTTACATCCCTCGTAATAAACATAATGATGGCAAACAATTTTTATACTGCATTAAAATGATGAAAAAAAAGTAATGGCAAAAAATTTTTCTCGAGGTAAAAAAATACGTTACGCAAAATTATTGTAAATTTTTCAAGGTATTTCCAAGATCATTCAACAATTTGATTTTATAAAAAAAACTGTTGTTAGACAAATCAAAATATTTTAAAATTGTGACAAAGCGACTGGCTGCGGGTTATCCTCGACCGATAACCTTATACACGCATTTTCCAGTTTACGGAGTTTTGCAATATTATGAAACTTGAAATCGAAATTTCTGATGAAAGAAAAAAAACCTACGATTAATGTTTACCGTATCAGCTGTTAGTACAATTTCACGCGCAAGATCCACGCGGCGAGTGATGGCGATTGCCGAGCCGAAACTTCAATAAGTAGCCTCGATAGCTCGGCTTGCACTTCAGTCTATCGCTCGGCTACGTTGTTGTGCATCAAGCGCTTGCTCTCTTTTTTCGCTTACTTTATATCTCCATAAGACGATCTCATTGTGTGTTTTTTTTTTTTTCCTTTTTTTCTTTTTAATCGTTAACGTAAGTGGGATAAAAATAAATTAGGACATTGCTTGATAAGGACCGTGATTCATTTTATTTGGGTATATCTAAGTGAATCGGGTGTCGCGAAAAATTTGCTTTTGGTTGTTGTTGCATCATTTACTAATATCTACGAGGTGATTGTATATTTTAAACATCATTAGTGTTGATTACTCATAAACAGTAAATCATTTGTATACCATCATCAATTTTGACAAAATTTCTAATAATTTATTAACCAATAAAGACAAGCTTTTCTTACGAAAATCGTTTAATTTTTATTTTAATATTCACACACATTGGGAACAAACGTAAATAAATATAATTTGCAATTCGTTTGATTGAAACTTGACTAAATAAACAATTGTTTGTATGATGTTAGTTTCGATAATTTGGACGTTACAACTTGGAACATCAAGACAAATTAAATTTATTAATGTAAATTATATAACGATTGATGAAAATCATTGGCAATATCATTGTTGGTTTGAAAAATTATTCGTAATATTATCGTATGTGTGTACCGCTAAAACACGTTACTTTTGTATTTTTCAACGATCAGCAGCGTCGAAAATAAAGTTTGCCATAGCAAAGCCTGTTTATTCGAAGTACCCAAAGAAACCAAGTGCAGCGAACACAGTGATTCATTGATACCGTCGAAGCAACAACAATCGAGCAAGTGGTTGGACAAACCCTTTCGAAAAAAAAAAAAACAAAAAAGAAGAAGAAGGAGACACGGAAAAATGCTGAAAATAGGTTTCGTCGGCGGTGGCAAAATGGCCCAAGCTCTTGCCAAGGGGTTCATCAAAGCAGGTATACACATAACAACTAATGACGTAAATCGATTCCAATCTTCACGCGTTGGCATGTACAAGTATTTACAACTTATAAAAACACATCGCCCGATAACGCAGCGCCTTGACAAAAGCACATATATATATATACACACAACAGTCGCAAAGTCAATAACAAGACTCGCGCGAAGGCCTTGGCATTAGATAGTCGACTTTGTTTTATATGTTTGTTGAAATTGCGCGCGTGTGGTGTATCTCTTATCACAAGTTGTACACTATTGTTTGACGTACTTTTGCGACACGAATAAAGCAACGAAAGGATATTCCAAAGGCTATCGGTACTTGGAGCCAATGGGTTTTCATATACGATGTATATACGCTATCGTGTCGCAGGATATACTAATGGGGTTTATTTTTCCACGCAGGTTTGACGAAAGGAGAACTGATGCTCGCCAGTTGTCTGCCGACGGACGAGACCAGCATCAAAGAATTCACGGTAATTGTAAATTTTGTATTCCAATGTCGCGCATGGGAAAGGGGGACTCGATCGATTGGCATTGGACGTGGAGGTGAGTGTAACTATTATGTGGTTTAATCGAGAAACCACTGAAGATAAATCGAGTAAAAAAAAAAGGAAAAAAAGATAACAATGGCAAGAAAGTCGCGCAAACAAAATTATCGTACTTTATCGCAAACCTTTCTCAAACAGAACGTCGACCTCGTGCACGTCACAAGCCGCGATTCAGAATTACAGAGCGAAACCATTCGGAAATTAACTGCAGTTGTACTCGTGCGGATATTACAATTTTTAGCTTTTTTTTTTTTTTGCGCCGGTATGAATATTTTTCAAGTTGCACTTCGTCACCGCAATCTTGGCGAGCTCTTATCTACCCCCCCCCCCTATACTTATACTTGGTGATGCACACATTTGCGATATACAGTACGTTTCGAGAGTACAATATTTTTATACGTTTAATCTGGGGAATTGGGGATTTTCCACCTCTGTATATACGTAAGAATAAATTCAGTCACATTTTTGAAAAAAAAAAAAAAAAAAAAATAATAAAAAACATGAGAGTCTAACAGTGAAACACAATTGTTACTGTCTCGAAAACAACGAATACAATCTCGCGATAAAAGTGTAAAAACAAGATGCCTACAGCAATATTGTTTATAACTAAACTATACTATCTAACGAGTAATTCATCAAAATGATTTTCATTACTGGACTTGTTTTAATGAGACAAGAGCGCACCATTAGCTTACGACGCGACAGTTTAAAGATGATTGATTTTCGAGTTATTTGTTCTCCGACAACTTGCCGAAATTTTTACCCGAAATATTGGAAATTTTTCTCAACATTATCGTGCAAAAAATGTTCTCTTTCAAAATTTTTCTCAACTCGTAACTCAGAAAAATAAAAAAAAAAAAAAAAGAAAAGAAATCACATAAACACATTCTATAACGTATAAACCGTGACATTCGCAGGCGATCGGCTCCAAGGCAGTCTTTTCGAACTCCGAGGTAGCGGAGAAGAGCGACGTGCTCGTGTTGGCCGTGAAACCGCAGGTGGTCAAAACAGTACTGCCGGAGCTCAAGGAATGCATAGGGAGCAAAAAGATGCTGCTGCTGTCGATAGCCATGGGCGTTTCTTTGAAATCCTTGGAAAGTGTGAGTACATCGTTAGATCGGAGACTCGATTCTTATATTTTCACCCGACCCACTTTTTTTTATCAACAATTGCAAAGATCGAGAAACGCGCGCAAAGTTACGCGATTAAGTGATCGTTGCAGAGTGGCGATTTCAGGTGCTGCCCGCCGGTACACCTGTCATCCGGGTGATGCCCAACATACCGGTACTGGTCGGCTGCGGAGCCACGGTGTACGTGAAAAATAAGCACGCCAACGACACCCACGCCGAAATCACCCGGAGACTCTTCTCCGCGGTGGGCCTGTGCGAGGAGGTACCCGAGACCATGATCAATCCGGTCACTGCCCTGGCTGGCTCTGGTCCGGCTTACGTGAGTACATTTCATCGGTTTGATTGGTATGCTTTGAAGAAAAAAAACAAAACACGTAATACTTGTGTAACAGGTTTACATGATAATCGAAGCCATGGCGGACGGTGCAGTGAAAATGGGACTGCCCCGACCATTGGCTTACAAATTGGCATCGCAAACGGTCATTGGGGCCGGCAACATGGTCAAACAAACGAACATCCATCCGGGCCAGCTGAAAGACGACGTCTCATCACCAGCAGGTTGCCTGTTGTTGTTGTTGTTTTCTTTTCACCCAACGTACTTATAAATATCACGGAGATGTAGTAAAAATTAATACTTAATACTCCAACGCAGGTTCAACGATAACGGCGATCCACTGCTTGGAAAGGAGCGGTTTGCGGGCGGCTCTCATCGACGCGATCGAAGCGGCTACGCTGAGGTGCAAGGAGATCAAACCGATGTCGGAGATAGATTGAAAGAGCCGGGGATAAGCTACTGATGCCATGTAGGACTCGAGGGATCCGCAGCCTGAAGCTGGTGGCTAAGTTGACTTGTGAAAGAGTGTGCTTTTGGGGAAACTTCGTGTTGCGCGAGGGGCTGCTTTATTACTTTAGAACGAAACGAAATCCGAGATTTCTTTCGGTGGCTCTGTGTCGAGTGTATGAATCGCAGGATTATCAATTTTTTATTTTATTTTTATAGTACCGAGTGGGAACGGATTATCGTAAATAGTACGACGAGCGCAGCCAAGCGATAACACACACGAGTATACACGCGCAGTAACCCCTCCTCACCGAAATCAGCTGAGTCTTGAAAGCTATAACGCTATATTCACGTATTACGTGCAAATGTATACATAATATTATGCTCTCAACGTCCTTCGTACAATATCGAAAAAGAGAACAGAGGATGGTATTATGTATGTATGGGCGAAGATAGCATTACGAGAGATGAAATAATTGAACTAATTTGGGAGAAATCGCGAAATGAATTTACGAGGAGCCTTTGCGTATACATATATAAATTGCCTTATTCTTCCGGCAGCTCCAAGCTCGCCTTGGCTTCCCCTCGACATCTCCTTTTATTTTTTTTCTTTTCTTTCTCTCTCTGATCTTGCGCCGACGGTATATGTAAGATTAGCCTTGTGGGATTTGCCACTTTGTCGTTTTAATTCGGTCCAATGGATCGTGTACAGGCGAGCGCTTGGTTTTTCTGAATTGGAATCAATAAAAATTGTACGGGGCACGTTTAAAACAAGCTAAACCGACCGCGCTTGTATTTAAAACTTATGTAAGAGCGTGAGTGTGTTTGCGTGTGTTTTATGTTGGGTACATCTGTCATCGATATCGTACTGGCTTGGATGTGATTTTTAATGTTGCTTTGCGTGTCTTTCGTAATGGATCTTCAATTCGAGAACAGATGAACGTCGTCATACGTATGTGCATTTGAGTTGTTTGTGAAAAAAATTTTTCGAATCGATGAATATGGAAAAAAATAAAAAATAAAAATAAACAGAAGCAACACTGGCTACTATATCAGTAAGCAGATATAAAAAAGATAATCACATTTTTGGATAATTGATAGGTATATTAGACGGTCGTCGATGCTGTTGTATTTTGAAATTCGCGGCTCACGGAGGTGACAGTAGTGATGGTTCCGCAACCAATTGATAGATGGCTATCTCAACTTTCTAGCTTTCTCGCAAGCGCACGGAATTCTTGTTGATTAGTATATAAGGAAGAAATAAGCGTCCCCAGCCGTACTTGCTTCGGCAGTACATATACTAAAATTGGAACGATACAGAGAAGATTAGCATGGCCCCTGCGCAAGGATGACACGCAAAATCGTGAAGCGTTCCACATTTTTTGGACGATTTGACATTATCGATGATTATTGACACATGTTGATTATTAACACATAAATTATTATTTNTAGCACGTGAATCACATTTTTATATTTAAAGTTTATATAAATAAAGTACAAACGTGCATGTAAATAAAACAGTTGCTCGTTTTTTGGTATAATTAAAGCTATAAAAGTGGTGTTTTTTTTTTCGCAATTGTTTTAAAGCGTATTTTGCATTCATTGAGAATGAAATATGTGGACTATAAAGATCATGTGTTTATGAGTAAATTGATGACTAGAAAAAAGTTAACTGACTAATAAATACCGTCGAGTAATTTGTGTTTAAAAATAAGCAAAATACTAAACTCTACGTTGCTTCTTTGCACTTGAAACCTAAATTAAATTCAGACTTAAAAATTTCTCTGTAATAGCCCTGTCTAACAATGTCCTTCTTTGGCAAGCCTTTTTCTTGGCAATGCTTGACGTACAACTTGTGCATTGCCGATACATTGAGAGAGGCATCGAGATAGCCTCTCCCGGTTTTATCTTCAGGTAGTATTTCCGCAGGAAAGGATCTTATGTGCTCGCGAATCATTTCTTTTGTCGCATCGCTCTTTTTCTGATGTTTTTTTTTAAAATCCATTCCCGCGATGCCGTTCGTTGACGATCGCTTTTTGTTCATCACGAGGCGCATGAATTTCTCCGAGACAGAAAATGTGTTGAGAAACATACCTTTGCACACCTTGACGAGCTCGCCGTTTACTAATAACAGATAAGTGCAGGTCAACTGTCGTCTCTCTGTTCTTATGGGACCACGACATCGCGACCGACTTTTTGGCGATTCCGTGATCGATAAGGCAATGTATTGCTTTCTCTGCGTCTGGTTGCAGTTGTTCCAAAAATTTTCGTACAGTCTTTTGCGAGTTTCTTCAGGTACTTTGTTGTAGCAGCCTAAACGACATTTGCAAGGTGGACCCATTAGTTTCCTTGGAAGTGTCTCCTTATCTGTAAATAGTTGTTTTGTGAATATTGTGCAAGCCTATTTTCAAGTGTCATTAAAAATTACACATCAGACCTTCATCACTGGATGACTGGGTCTCTTCCAAACTTGATTCTTTTGCAACATTGAGCTGTGGTGTTTTTGATGTTGGCTCCCTATTTTGGATTTTCTCTATTACATACAAATCATCTTTTCAAGTTTCCACCAAATTAATAATCAATGCAATAACCATCAATAATTACCTGGTTCATAGTTACAGATGGAATACTCAAAATTTTCATGCAACGAATCATATGCAATTGAAGTTTCAATTTCTTCAAATTGTTGAATTGGAAAATTTTTTTTCATCTCTTCTACAATCATACCTAAAAATTAAAGGAAAAATCTCCTTTTGAATGGGAAAAAAATAATTTATAGACTTACATGGATTTTCTTCAAACACAAAGCCCTTTTGGGAGATTATGGGGTGTAATACATGTTTCTAGTAGCTGCACCTTCTTTGATGCTATCGTGTCTCTTTCTGTCAGTCTGCAACTGCAGCAACATCTAAAGACACCCCCAACAACCCTATGTAAAAAGTCAAAACAAACAACGCGAATGAACCATTCCTAACCTGACCCTTACCGTTTCAGTATATACTGATATTATATAAATATAACAGGGAAGTGATGTGAGTTTGAGACTCTGGTAAATATTTTATGCAGTTGCAAGGGTGTAGTTGAGAGTAATAATATTGAGATTTTTTTTTTTTCCTTGACAATCATGCGTATTGGAAAAGTGGACGATTTGAATTGAAGAAAGTTGAAAGAACGCCGTTGGATCAAGGGAAGGAGCCTTAAAGATTGGGAGCTGGCAAAACTAAAAGTGCTGAGGTGGTCAATATATTAAAATAAATAAAATAAACAATGGTTTTTTTTTTAAATACTTTGTAAACGAATTTTTATTAAAATTAAATATAAAATATTATACATACATAATTTACACGCGAGAGTTACAACTTTTTCCCCTTTGGACTCGAGAGAGTTATCAGAGATACCCTCCGAGGTGTCCTTGCCGCAATGGGCGTCGCCGGCTTTTCTGATTCTTTAGTCTTGGGTGGAGTGGCTTTCAATTTATCAGTATCCGTGATGGTGTCTTCCAACACTAAATGAAAATCATCCTCATCATCTGCAGATGCATTATTGGTATTATCATTGTTTTCTTTCTGTTTGATTTCTGAAGCACTTATCTTTTCTTCTTCATTTTTCTTGGGAGATTTCATTTCTGTATCGTTTTTGTTCTCTTTTAGAGGTGTTATTTTTTTTCCAGTATTGTTCTCCTTAGGAGATTGCATTTCTTTTTCGCTGCTTAAAATTTCCTTGGATTTTTCCTGAGAAATATCAATATCAATGGCATTTGTACTTTGATCTAAAGTTGTATCCAACAATGATTTTGTTTCTTTTGTATCTTGTCTAACTTCATTTTTCTTTGGCTCTACGATTTCTGGAGCTTTTTCGTAAGTTTCTCCCAGTTCTCCTTCATCAAAATGAATTATTGAACAGTAACCGTCGGAAGATGAAGCAATTAGTATTCTTCCATCAGAAGACCTTAAAAAACGTAATGTTACTTGTAATAATACAGTAATATCATTATTAAAATTTTTTTATTCTTATTTATTCACCAAGCAATGTCTGTCACCCGAGTGTAATGAATATTGGAAATGACTGCAATGGGTGAAATTTGCTGAGTATCGTATATCATAACAGATTTATCTGTTGCAACGGCAAATACCATCCTGTATGGTAAATCCATCATAGAGGAAGGACCTTCTTTTCGTAATTTGAAATACATAGGACAGCATCTGACAGCATTTGTCACTTCTTCATGAGAAGGAAGAACAGCTATGGGTCTTTAATGTAAACTATGTATCAGTAAGCCTAAAAAAGTTAAACAGTAAAAAATCAAGTTGTAAAAGTTTACTTACTCTCGTAGAGTATGTCTGGAAAATATATGTATACAGTTGACAATTTTTTCTGCCGATTCTTGATGTTCTATAATGCCTGAAGGTACTAAAAGAAGCATACCATCTGGCGAATACGTCAATCTCCTAAAGTAAGATTTGAAAGTATCATCATAAAACAAACGAACAATTTTTCCATCAAGTGCATGTCCAGATGGAGTAGGAATCTTTGATTTGCTCACGCGCTGTACAGTTTTTTTTAAACTAGTGTCAATCAGTCTGCAGATTCTACAACAATGTACACATTGATTGTTAAAAAAAAAAAAAAAAAAAAAATTATATTTGCAAAGTACATGAAAAAAACCACTTTTGCTAACCTGTCCGAGCTAATACTGGCCACATATTTATTCATAGGATCCCAAGTAACACCTTGAGGAAATCCTTTGGGATAATCATTCAATATACAGATTTTTTTGCCTTTCTCAACATTCCATAGAATGACTGAATTGTCCAAAGAGCTAGATGCTATAAAACTACAGTCTGGAGACCAACTCAAGCCATTGACATCCTCTACATGTCCTCTTAAAACTTTTAAAGAGTTCCAATGCTCTTTGTTTATAAAATCATCATCGTCGGAAATAATGGGTATCTCTAGACTTTCTCTTTGCTTCCAAAGAATGATCATTGATTCTGTGAGAGAAGAAAAAAAAAAAAAAAAAAAAACATCTAATTACATCTATTGATGCAATTAAAATTTTCAAACATTGCAAAGTACTTACCATCATCTCCAGAAGCTAACATTTCGCCAGAAGGTGAAAATCTCACAACATTCACGGTTTTCTGATGCCTATCGAGATCAGCAACACAGGCTACAGCGGCTTCACTAGTTTCACTCACAGTTAAATGCCAAATCTTAAAAATGTAACAAAAAGTTATGATTTTTTAAAATTTTCTTTCTTGGAATTAAAGATGCAAATTCAAAAAATCTAATAATGATCAATACTGCTGAATGAACATCTATTGTACATAATTAAGATCAACTGTAAAACTTGATGAATTAAATACTTAATATGGGCAAAAAATAATCACCAAAACATGAGAATCCGCACCACCCGAGGCGAGCCTCCAGAAGGTGTTTCCCATAGAGAGTTTGGAACTTCCATTTTGAACATCAACACTAAGCACTGGACCACGATTGTGCCAAGAAATCTCTGGTATCGTGCACTTCATTCTTGCTTGTGTGAACTTTACAATATCATCTACGAGGTCACTTTAATTGAGACGATTAGCCTCCTCTGGTAAACCTTAGGCCACAAGTGTTATTTTCGCGCGCAAAAAGATAAACTTTATATATTTTATATTTTCTCGACTGCTCCAACTCAATCGGTATGGCAGATTGTGACTTAAACTTTTAATTTTGTTTCATAGTAGAGCACGAACAATTTGAATATTTAAAAATTAAGTTTGACATTTAAGTAGATATTGCTTATACCGATACCGAAACTTCCAACACAAGTTCATTCGAATCTTTGAAGCTCCGAAGTTCGATAGAATCGCAAAAAGCTTGAAAGTAATTAAAGATTTAACATGGGATAAGATCATTTTTGATTTGAACATTTTGAACATCATTTTGAACTAAAAATCCTACTCCAAAAGCTTCAAATGTTTACCGCAGTATATATGATTAAGGTTATAGAAGGCGCTGATGTCACAGAGCCTACTCCTACAGTTTCCAAAATTTATCGTTTTACGTAAATTCACGTTGGTTATTGGCGCTTCAAATTCTATTTTTTTATAAGTAAAACATGGTGCGCGCACATATACAGTATTTTAACACATTTGTTGTATGTACATTGGATACACCATCGCGCGATATCAGAATCTGAGTATCCGAGGACAGGACAGAGAGTCGACGAGAGACGAGGACGACGACGTGTTCCTCTCACTCCAATGCCCGTCACATTATACTATTATAGCTGCTGGTGCTGAAAGAACCTTCCTCGGCGAGGAATCCTCGCGGGTTGCGTCGAACTCGAACACTGATCTCATTCACCTATCTATATCTACTGTTTTATTGCTGACTTAATTACTGCTGTTGTACAGATTGCTCTTTTTTATTCTATACCTTCAAATTAAAGTTAAATACATCATCAGAGAAAGAGAGAGAGAGAGAGAGAGAGAGAGAGAGCTATATATACAGATATATAAAAAGTGTGTGTCTAGTGTGTTTGGTTTGTGGGTCCGATTCTCTCCGATACTTACTTAGTCCCTCGCGCTCGCTCGCTCTTTCTCCCCCAAAGAAGACTGATTCATCGTCAAGTAGCAGTGTGTCATATAGTTCTAAGAGCTCCCCGGGAGCTCAGAGAGAGGTCGATACATACGCGGGGCATCGGCAACAGGAATAACAAGTGTACAGAGAACTCGGTTGGGCTCGTTAATACACGTCAAAGAAAGAGCCTGCTCTTGACTTTCTCGAAACTGGAGGTGGAAAAACTCTCGAACGTGTGTGTTAATATCATAGAAGAGCAGCAGCCAAGGTAAAAGAGCGAGAGGGACAAAGACAGTGTATTTATACACAAGCACAGCGGTCACGAGGAATGTCGACCCCCGCGAGGAGACGACTCATGCGAGACTTCAAGAGGTAAGTTGTTGTTGTTGTCGTCATTGCTGAATACCCCAATATTTCGATTCCTCGAGGGCATAAGTACCTACCTACTGCTCTCTTTCTTTCTCTCTCTCTCTCTCTCTCTTGAGCAGTAGTTCTCAGGTTAAGAAAGCTGTCCTCCATTTCGCCAGTTGTCCAGCTGATAGTTTTCCCAATTTCTCGGGGCTCAACGGGCAATGTGTCCATATCGACAATGAGAAATAGGGTGATAATTGGGTGGTATGTGGAGATGACGACGTGATCGCGGATGGCGAGAGCGAGGGATAACTTCTTGCGTTCTCGATGACGTTCGTTTTATTATTAGATGATTCTTTAAGAGAGAAAAAGAAAGATGCAAGGACCGTGTGGCTTGACATCACGTAAAATTATTTTGGAGCTGCAGGTAATGTTGATTTTGATGTCTGGGCTTTTTTTCGTTCCAGGTTACAGGAGGACCCGCCAACTGGAGTTTCTGGAGCACCTACGGACAATAATATTATGATATGGAACGCTGTTATATTTGGGTAAGCATTGTTTGATTTTAAAAGTGGTTTGAGCTATTTTCGGAAGTGTATGTATTAAAAAAAAAAACTTGCTGGCTTCGATATAAACAAATACTATGATTAAGGTATTTATTTGAGTGGTAAAAGAAACTTTGTCAACTGCATGAAAGTTTTTTCTGTGATTCTGTTTTCTCATAACAACACTTACATAGTAGTCTCTTAACTTCTTTTATTTTTTGCTCCAAGTTAATTTCTTATCTCCAAAGCTTATGATAATGTTGAACAGAGACATTTTTTCTTATTTAAAAATAGGTTTTAGAAAAGAAATTTTTTTTTTACAAATAGTATTTGTATTTAACTATTCTAAACGAGATCAACATTTTCCTTTGCAGACCACATGACACCCCGTTTGAAGACGGGACCTTCAAACTCACAATAGAATTCACAGAAGAATATCCCAACAAACCACCAACAGTAAGATTTGTCAGTAAAATGTTTCATCCAAATGTTTATGCAGATGGTGGAATTTGTCTAGACATTTTACAAAATCGTTGGAGTCCCACATATGATGTATCAGCAATCCTAACATCCATACAGGGAGTTTTTTTTTTTTTTTTTTTTTTTTTTTTTTTTTTTTTTTTTTTTAATACAATTTCTGCCAGAGCATGATCACGATATTTTAAAGCTAGTTTTTTCTTAAATCTTCGTACATTCATATGTATTGACTTAACAGTGGTTGCAATTCATCAAAGTCGAAATGTTCATTGTATCAAAAAAATCAGATTTATCAATTTAATAACATTAACCTTAATACTCAAGTCATTATTAACCAAGCTTTATGTGTCTAGTTATTAAATTTAAAAGGGGATCTGCTAAAATAATAATTCAGGAATCAAATATTGGAAAATCACATAATAAATCAGCATACAAGAAATAGTAAACGCCTTTTTTCTAACCAACGTACCAAATCAATTTATGCATATAATTCATTCATATGATTTTATTTCATTTGAACGTTAATACCCAAAATCTACATGTACTCAGATAACTTGGTTTTCAATAAAAGATTCATATTTTAATCGGCATTTCTTCACAGTTTCAAATAAATTTGATCCAAAAAACGATAAATAAAACAAATGTACTTATTAAGTTCTGAAATATTTTTAATTTCAGTATTTTCATTTGGAGGGCAAAAAAAAATTCTTAGAAGTAAGAATAGAAATGTTTAAAAAAAATTTTAAGCACGACTTTTGTGTGGTTGCAGTCGCTGTTAAGTGACCCGAACCCAAATTCGCCTGCCAATTCGATGGCGGCACAACTGTACAAAGAGAACCGGCGCGAGTACGAGAAACGAGTGAAGGCTTGTGTGGAGCAGAGTTTCGTGGATTAGTTGGCGGCAAGAGCTCGCCGCTGTCGCAGCAGCAACTTAAGGGTACGCTAAACTGACGTATTTTTATTTTTATTAATTATTCGTTGAAATCAATAACAGTTAGACTGCCTTGAAGTATGTTCATTAAATTATCATTCCAGTATGGCAAATAATAAAATATAACAAAAAATAGCAATTTTCTATTACTTAAAAATCATAAAGTAGCGTGTAGATGGATCTACAAGCGACACATAATTTCACGTAGAAAAACAAAACATGAAAGATAATTTTGATTTTTAGTTTTGTCAGTATACCGTACCCTTAACGGCAGCCGACTACAGCTACAGCGATACAGCAGCAGTCGCCACAAGGCGTGTCGAGGACGAGAGAGGAGAGCTTACGTGCCACCCCGTGAATTGGAGCTAACGCCTTTTGCGCTTTAGTTTTATAAATACATAATGAAAAAGCATGTCAACTCCCCGCGTCTCTGATTCGATTACACATCAAACTCGTACACACATACGTTATAAAAAAGAAAAAAAAATCAACATTATACTCTCCATCTCTCTCTTGTACACATCTGTGAACATGCATTCAACAACACTATCCACACTTAGGGTAGTCCTCCTTGTTGATAGTTAACGTCAATAAAATTTTTATTTTATTTTTTTTAATTATTAATTTTTAACAAATTTTTGTTTTGGTCCTACACGCGTGTGAAATTATTGTAATTTGTATCAAACTCGAGTATATCACTTTTTTTCCAATGTCGAAAAAATGAATTTTTATTGTTTTGAAAATTTTGTACTTTACAGTTAATAAAATATGTTCTATTGTTATTAAAAACTTTAAATATTGATTTATTGAATTTCTGACATCTTTTATTGGCATATTAACGATTCCTTAAATGTTTCATAGGATAAATAATTTTTATGTATCAAATCATCAAAATTACTTTAATTTTTTCACAACTCTTTGTAACTATAATTATTTAAATGTCTTGAAATATTAGACTTGATGCAAAAATTATAAGATTCACACCTTTGTTGTTCTTACAAATACAAAAGTGAGTAAACACGCGATTCCGGACTATCCCAAAATGACACCTATACATACGTGCAACTATATTAGATCGAATTTTTACAACGTTGTATAATAAATTAATGTAAAATTGTGTATTTATTTATTCGTAATCTGCGAGCAAGGGTGAGCTTAGGCGTCGAGTGGAGCTTTACGAAAAAAAAATCTAGTACCTATACCTATTGATTATTCAAGTATTAGAAGTTACGAATAAAATAAACGGAAAAGTTAATTACTAAGTAGCTTTTGTGCTTTGATGCTCTAAGAGTTTCGAAGCAAAAACTATCTTTTCCTCCTTTGTGTTACTGTATAAATAGAACGCAGAATTGTACTTTTTTTTTTGTTGGAATTATTGTCATTATTGCTCTTGCTATAATTACAATTACTATTATAGTACTTGTATAGTACAGGAAAATCATTCACTTATACATATAAAAAGTATATATACACAAATATAATAAAATGCATAATTTCAATTTTTATTAAACGTTTTTTTCTATTCCTTCCTACCAGACGAATCTTTGAACTTAACTTTAAATCTACAAATTAAAGCCTTTAACAACTTTTCTCTAATTATTGACGTGTGTTCCAGTCTCTGCTTGATGAGCCTAATCCTAACTCACCAGCCAATTCTTTAGCTGCTCAACTGTACCAAGAAAATAAACGTGAATACGAAAAGAGGGTGGCTACCGTCGTTGAACAATCATGGTTAAACTTTCAAGAATGCGGATCAACAGATGACACTCTTTGACAATAAATGCAAGTAGATTTTATTTTCAAGAACAAGTAACATATTTAGCTTCAACAGATAAAATTGTAAATATTATTTTTTTATTACAAGTAATATAGTAGCCATTAAAATTGTAAGTTTTATATAGCATAAATGAGAAATAATATTGACACCGTAGACTTACAAGGTTATATTTTTAATAACCTAATAAAACAAATTTCTACTAGCTTAATACTTCTACCTATAATTTTCATTTATTTAGTACACAGGTAGATGTGTGCACATATAAAAAAAATGTATTTTTATTACTTGATAATATACATATATTATTCACCTACTAAATTAAAAAAAAATTTTTTTTTCATTTAATACGAAATACACAAATCAAAGAAGTCTTACCTACGTAAATTATTACATATAAAACCTTAAATTGATGACTTACAAGCAAATTCATTTTATTTTGAATAATATTCGTATTTCAGGTAGCAGAAATTCGATATTTAACATTTATCATGTGATTATTATTGGACAAGTATCAACGTCCATGCATCCTTGTGATTTGTCTTGGATTAATGATGAAAAATAACTACCGATAACTAAAATAATGAAATAATGTTACTGACGAGTACGTGTGTACAGACCAAGTATGAGTGTATTATTAGTAAGATGTGAAATGTAATTTTTTTGTTTGTTTAAGATAAGTTATAATAATGAAAGTTTCTTAGCACAATCTAATGTATATTTTATTTCACCTTCTAAAAATATTCTGTAATATCAAAGTAATATTAAACTATATATATAAATATATATACATACACATACATGTTTTCTACCTCATTGTGGACTTTAAATTATTTAAAATTGCTGCTTTTTTTTTATCTAATAAAAAACAAAACTCCAATACCATGATCAAGTTTACTGCTACGATTTTACTTCTTTTTCTTTGTTATATATAGCTAGTTCTTTGAGAAATTGGGCCTTGGGTTTCATAATATTTGGTCTGTCTCCACGACACTTGGGACAAAACCACTTACCTTTGGGTTTGTTGCTCAGAGATACACAAGAAAAGTGGAACCATTCAATGGGACACAAGTCATTGTCACACAGAATCATCTCTCCGTACGAAATTTGATCACACAGACAGTAAGTCGGCTCGTCAGGGTCGATTGCAATATCATCTTCAGGAGGTGGCGGCGTGTCCTCCCTGTGCTGATTTTGATTACCTTGTCGTGATTTCCTTTTTTTCTTTTTGTTAGCCTGAAGTTGATTTGTTCTCTTTTGACTTCCATTAGAAGAACTCGGAATGTTTGCTGATCTGTTCTCTGACATGATCATCTCCATTGCCTGGGCTGATTCAACCAGAGCCTCTGTCCTAGTCCTCCTTGCTCGTTTCTGTGGCCTATCGCTATTATTTGTATTGTTGCTGGAATTGTTGTTTGCACTTGTATTGTTGTCCCTTGCTGGCTCATTGGATTCTTGCTCTTTGCCCAAGTCTAGAGAAAAATTACAAAATTGATGATAACAGAACTGTAAATAATGAAAAATTTTTTTAAACGACATTTGAACCAAACGACCAAGTTTCATACCCAAGTTATTCAAATCCACCTCTAATTGCCTGCCTTTGTTTTCAATGAGATCTTGAATAGTCTGCACAAGCTGTAACTTTTCGTCACCGATTTCTTGCATTGCTATAAGTGCTTGCTGTATCCTGAATAGAGCACGGGTCCTTGATAAATTACTTATGTCGCTTTTGCATAGTGACTCTTGATTTGTGTCGATTTCACGACGATATGCTGCGCAACGTAACCGAAAACGTACGTGTCATTGAAATTGAATCATAAAGTATTATTTGTAAACAGTATCAATGGTCAGCAGCCATAATACTTATGGTGCAGGGTAAAAAATCGTAGTTACTCTCGTTAACGAGTGATCGACGCGATAAAAAATTAGGTGTACTAATGCATACTTACTTTGACAAGTGGCGTCGAGTTCACGAAGTCTCGACAAATGTCTCTGCAGGTCGTTCGGTAGGTTTTCCACGCAGTCGAGGTAATCGTCGACGTAGTTCGTCGAATACAGAGCTTCCACGGTCGCTTGGTTCAACATTTTTGCTTGTCCTTTGCTTAGTTATCACTGGTAAACGTTAAGCAACTGAAAATCAGCACATTTGCCAAACACATTTCCCGATGCCGCGCCGAGCAATAACGAAGAAAGTACATTAAACATTAATCAAAGAGAGACACAGAGGATCAAGTTGACTTGGTTTGCGACAACTTTGCGAAGATGCAAACCTTGTACTTGTGCAAACAATATACACCAAAGTGTATTATTTAACAATATCTTGTATGAAACCTAGGGCGCAGTATATATTCCGCAAACGCTGCCAGCAGTACACGGTACGTAGGTAACGTAGGTCGTGATGGTCTTACTGTCGATCATTTACAGTTACAATCAGCGCCATCTCGCGCGACTGATTTTGAACTAAAAAATACCCTAAAAAGTACTTTTTAGTTCAAAATCAGCAACGCGAGATGGCGCTGATTGTAAACTGATGCAGGGGGTTTATTTAAACCCACACACTGAACGATAATTAATTCACTAGCGAATCCTCGAGGATCCTCGAGGAATCCTCTGTCTGCAGTACCTACTTGCCTGTATTTCATCACACGGCGATTAACGTACAATCAATTAATTTCTCTCTCGCAGAGAATATATACATACGTCCACCTGCAATAATATATGACGACCCGTACAACCAGATATTATATTCATGTGCATACGTATATATAATATAATATTTAATAAATAATTTTAGATCAACGAAATCGATCACAATGAAATCATTTTCATTTATACATCCTATAAACATTTATCACGTACCACAATTATTATCATCATCATCATCATCATCATCATCATCATCATCATCATCACAATCATCGGATAATATAAACGAGTTTAATACATATATATATATTATTTATGTAGGCGCTTTCCGCGGGCGCCAACTCCTTTGGAGAGTATATATACTTTGTTCGATCCGATTTCCATAAATTATTACATCGCGCTACGCCGGCTGGTACTATTATTATTCGTTATCACGGCCATACCAGTAATTATTACTCTCCGGCAGTACAGCGCGCGAATTTGAAGGAACAACAATTTTATTTTTATATATTCTCCCACTTGGCAGATTTTTCTGGAAATATATGGTTGTTTCTCGTCTGTCGAGAGGCAATATCGGAGCCACGTCTGATGGAAAATAAAAATTTACCGGAAAATACCGCCGATTTTTTTTTTTTTTTTTCTTTTTTTTCTCCAATGAAGCTAGTTACGCGTCCTCTCTCCACTTGGCGCCGACAACAATACCCTTTGGATATCAATTAAATTCGCGTTACGCGGGTATCGAACAGCTGAAGGCGTAAAGGAAAAATAATAGCGACCCACACATAGGTGTTAATGTTTCTCCGAGCTCACACCACATGTAGGTACACATGTACACATACATTGCATATGGTTGGCTGATTCAATCAAGGCTCGTACTACTGAATCGCAAATTTATTTTAATCGTTGGAAAAGCCCCCGACGCGGCTTAAATTCGTATACGAAGAAAAAATAGAGCAATGTTCGATCAATCATCGAAGTTATCAGTCGCCAGCTATATCGCATCGACCAATAAAAAAAAAAAAAAAAAAAAAGTAAAATATATGAGAGGGGAAGAAAAAAGAACAAACGAGAAAAGAAAGGGGTGCAAGGTAACAATTAGCAATGAGTGCCTACACCACACACACACACACACGCGCGCGCGGGAGCGTACATGAAAAAAATTATCTCGTCTCGTGTGTATAAAGTAGGTACTCGGAGGCGAAGTTGTATTGTGCAGGTGTACGTACACAGTAGCTGATGCATCAGCGGTGCCGATAGGGTTTCTTGCAACGTCACAAAGCCTCTCACTTCCGACCCGCAAATTATTTTATGCTGTCGAGGGAGACCAAAGAGACAGATATACAATTATTTGTTTGATACGCCCGTGCAGTCATGGCATTGATGGTTAAATTACTACTAATGTACATGAAATTGTGATACATAAATGGTAAGCTTTTTTACGTAAACCGAAAAATAATCTAACAATGCGACCGTTAATACACCGTTTTTTGTTTTTGTTTTGGTGGCTCGAAATTTTTGAAACGCGACTTTACTTTGCTTAGTATTTTCCAATTTACGAGTATCGGATGAAAAACCGGCCGAAGCGAATCCTGGAGTAAGAAATAAAATGTGATTTAGATTCAAAGAGCGAGTACTGTATTATATAATATACTTATCATCGTATTTTTAAACCCTTGATCTCGACAGTGTAAAATGTTTCTCGACTCAACAAGTCTGGAAGGCTCTTTTTCCTTATCCTACCGATAACGTATGGGTACGAAATTACAAAAAACTTCCAAACCGATTCTTTTGTCACAACAAAAAAGAAAAAAAAAATGTTGCTTCATGTTAAACTTTTGGAAGCAACCACTTTTTACTTTGGTAAAAAACACATACCATTTTCTTACACCTCCACCCCACAATCAGCTGCAGCAAGCGGAACCGTGTCACCCAAGAACAGCGGGTACCTATATATACAATGTACATGTATACATCANTCCTCTGGCGAGAGTGCACGTATACGACATTCTTGAGGAGCTTTTTTTTTTTTTTTTTTTTCTTCGAGGAACGCGCTTCAACTCCTCTTGAGGGAGAAAGTTTTCGTCTTTCTCGGTGCAGGTGGACCGACCGATGGAGAGCGTCTTTTACGTGTCCCGGGAGGTCTGCGGGTGCGGCTATCGGAAATTTCACGACCATACACGTGACGCTTGAGCTTTTTTGCCCCTTCGAGTTTGACTGTGTCGCTGTTTGCAGATTATGGATCTTTGGATGTTTTTTTCTTTCCCCCCCCCCTACCCCCCTCAAACAGGACCGTAGCTCTTTACCGTGGAGTCAGGAATTTTGTCAAATTAGAACGTGAGTTTCGATGCATTTCGTGACTTTTTATTTTCTTCATAAAACCTTCCAAAAAATATCTCGGTAATTGCACTTTTCTATACCTTCCTACTATTATCGCTGACAATCTTTTCGTCCCCACACTTGAGCTGTTGTTCGTATAAACGTGTCATATACTTGAATTACAATAGTAAAATCACCCGCGAATGCCAATGAAAATCACGTCATTATAGTATTGTAGGGGAAGAAAAAAAAAAAATTTAAGTAGAACACACCGGATATGGTCGGACGTAAACATCCTCCCGTCCCCGAAAAACTTTTTCCGTACAATTTCAGCGACGTTTCGCCCGTGTGTGTATTCCCTTGCCTCGTAATCGTATTACCACGAGGGAACGCACGAGCAGCAGTCCGGGAAATCGCAAATTATTATCATTATCGTTATACACGAAATAAATCTGGTAAAAACGTGGTCCTGAAAGAACGTTCATTATGCTCTTTTCTCAATTAACATCTACAATGGATCCCTCTTGGCTTTTCATGTTTTTTCAGGGATACTTACAGCCCGTGATGAAAGACGAAGCAAAAAAGAATAAGTAGGGGCTCTTTCAATAATTAAGCGCGAAAGCTCTAGTGCACTCCACAGGGTTCTCCGATTTTTACGAAACTTTGTTCCTTTATTTTTCCCACGGCGTAATCGTTTCGTTCTCCAGACACGCCGCAAAAGGCTCTCCCCGCTCGTGTACAAAAACGCGCTTATCTCGGAAACTCCATAAAATCTCATTACACTGAGCGATGAAAATAAAAAGAGCTTTCCCAACCAAAGGCAACATTTACGTTACATTGTACGCTCGCGAGCTCCGATTCTCTCCCGTCGTCATGCATTATCCCACACCGCTCCCGGGATGCACGCATTTCATACGCTTCGCGTGATTTCCATTGTATGTGTGTACAATATATACGCGTATCTCCTCGTACAGTCGTTTCATTGCGAGTCGGGTAATCCTGACGAGTGCACCCCTTTTGTACACGATCCATTAAACCCTTTTAAGTATTATATATACACGTGCAGGATCTGTGTGTATAGTCGAATACTTATAATTCGCCCTTGAACTACCTATAATAGACCGGAAATACCAAATTGGGCGTTCTACGCAAAATGCTTTTTTTTTTTTTTTTTTTTTTAATCTCAGGTAACTTCCTTCATCGTATGCACGCGCACCTCGTCTTCTGACCCTTTTAATCTCGCAAGGGTGAAATACTCTACTTTCAGGCACGAATGTGTATAGGTACGCGCGCGTTAGCCAATTAAAACTCTCCGTGTATATGCGTGTCCTGCTCGTGTTTATTTTGTTCAATGAAAAAAATCAGCAAAAATTGCAAGCGAAAATACCACGTAGTAATTGCTGCGAAGCACTCCTTTTAGTTCACGCACACACACAGGTATATACATACACAAGCAGCCACTCGACCCTGTGATTTTTAAGGGGGGAAATAGTAAAGCTCCCGCTTGTATTTTGCCCGCAAGAGCTCCTTTGACGTTCACCCCTTGCTTCTTTTCCCGTAAATCTGAGCTCACTTTCCACTCCGATTTCTCCTTTTTCTCCCCCCCCCCTTTTTTTTTAAATAAAGACTTTGTATTTTAAGCAACAAAGAATAAAAATAAAAAAACTCCCCTCTCGCGTCTGCTCTGTCCCGTACGGTATGTATACATATATAAAGACGGAGTATAAGTTTGGGGAGTCTCACCGTGGACAATCATTATTTCAATCACAATCCGTCCGAGGCGGTGCAGTAAAGGTATTCTAAAACCATGAGCATGTACAGTACGCTGCGCCATTGGAAAATCAAATTTCGCCCCCGAGTGTAAGTATACAGACGTATAAATATATACATAATATGTGTGTATACGTGTGGGGCCGAGTCAATTGAAACTGCGCACTCTCGGCGTGTCCTCCTTTTTCGGCATCGAAAAAGTGCGACGAACTACACCGCGAGTGCATCCATTAGATGCGTACACGTGGTCGAGTGTTTTCAAGTGTTAGTGTCTTTGGAGCGGCGCGTCACGCTAATCAATGAACAAACGGATGCTCCAAATCGCGATGAAATCCATTTCGAACCCTACGAATTTTCATTTCGACCGAGGGTCACGACTTCAACCCCCTTGGAGGGACATAGACCAAAGCAGCTTGAAACAATTCAGCGACCAATCCTTATTTTTCCATCGGACGTTACCACACATCTGAGGGTTATTAATACCCAAGTGGCGTCAAAAGGAGCTTTTTGTCTAAAAGTGGACCATTTAGTGTACACGCGAGTGACCGTGTCGAGTGTACAGGGGGGGTGGGGGAGGGAGGAGGCATTGTTTTCCTTCGGCAGAACAGTA